TCTGATGCAGCTGGTTCTTGTTATGTTCTAAAGGTTTGCTAAAATCCTATTGAACTCAGCAGGGCATACTAAACACTTATAGGGTTGTACTGTTAGATCTACGTACGTTTTTTGATGGAGGTGTGAAATTTCTCTACCAGGACCGTAAGACTTGATATCCACAGGCAAAACAGGTTTGCCATGTATTAGGCCAGGGGATGTGACTTGATTGAAACTTGCAAAGAAGACCAGCTGACTATAATCAAAATACCACGGATGGAAATTTCTATGCAAATCTGAATCTTTAGCATTGTGGGTGTCGGAGCAGAGTTTGACATATTTTCCAATCCTAAATGGGTTTCCGAGATACAATACCTCTCTCTCTCTTTTTGTGTGGCTTCCCCCTCCCCATTTACATTTTGGTAAAATTACACTTCCTTCCACTCTGCCTCCTATAGCGATGGGATTTCAGAGGCTTCACTTTTCAATCATAATTCGCAGGATTCTTTTAACATGATGTGAGCACAACACCGTCTTTGTTCATAGCTAGGAGCTTTTCGAAATATCGTTACTGAGATAAGATCTCTGATTCACAGAAGGCCGGACAAAGCACTTTTTAATGCCATTTGGTTAAGAAGGTAAAATGTCTTGCGGACAGGTTAAGTATTTAAAATGATAATAAACACTTAGTGAGGGGAAGCTTTGCTGTTCAAAGCCACAAATATGAGCTTGAGTGATTCACTAATTCCTTAGGACCTGGGCCGGACAGCTGTGATAGAGAAGAAAATGTATCATCATATAGATAGTTGATGGATGGATGGATGATCAGCAGAGAGTTAAAATGGTTTTCATTCAGAGTTGTAATTACAAATGGATTATTTGATCCCCCTGTAATTCAGCGGGTAATCTGAGCATCAGCTGTATATAACTCATTATTATTATTTTTTAAAATGTGTTTATTGAGTTTTCAAAAACAACAGCATGCAGACAAGACAAACAATGAATAAAGAACAACAAGTGTGTGGAGCACATTGTTGCAGTTAGAATGAAATAAACAGAAGGTTCAGTACACTTTTGCAGACATAATAAAATAGATTCTGCAAAGGGAATCTATTTTAGGCATGTATTGTTGGGGGGCCTATGCAGCACATTATTTTTGTGAGGCATATAAACAGATCATGCAAACTCAAAATGGTCTTATTTCTTAACCCCTCTTATCACCCTCCTGTGATGGCTTAAATTCTCTTTTTTATTTTTATTTTTTTAAATGATATTTATTAAAGTTTCAAAAAATACAGGAAAATACAGAATACAGAAAAAATAAAAAATAAAAAAGAAATAAAGTTTCTGAGATATAGCAAAAAAGTAAAAAATAATAATAAAAAAAGACAGCATACAAAATAAAACAGTTAAAAATGCATTAATTTTCCATAACCTATCTTCCTTACACTTATTTCCCCGGACCTCCTCATACCTCCCTTTTTTGTATTCCAGTTCAATTTGTTAGTTCAGCAAATCCTAACCATTAAGCTTTTACCCATTTGTAAACCTTTTTTCATATCTCTTAAAGCATTACAGCTGGAAACCACTTAGTTTCTATCCAACATTTTTCTAACATTCATTAATTTTACAGTATTTCTGTAAATAGTCTTTAAATTTCTTCCAGTCTTCTTTCACCAACTCTTCTCCCTGGTCTCGGATTCTGCCAGTCATTTCCGCCAATTCCATGTAGTCAATCACCTTCATCTGCCATTCTTCCAGAGTGGGTAGATCTTGTGTCTTCCAATACTTTGCAATGAGTATTCTTGCTGCTGTTGTAGCGTACATAAAAAAAGTTCTGTCCTTCTTTGGCACCAATTGGCCGACAATGCCCAGAAGAAAGGCCTCTGGTTTCTTCAGAAAGGTATATTTAAATACCTTTTCATTTCATTATAAATCATCTCCCAGAAAGCCTTAATCCTTGGGCACGTCCACCAAAGGTGAAAGAATGTACCTTCAGTTTCTTTACATTTCCAACATTTATTATCGGGCAAATGATAGATTTTTGCAAGCTTGACTGGGGTCATGTACCACCTGTATATCATTTTCATAATATTCTCTCTTAAGGCATTACATGCCGTAAACTTCATACCTGTGGTCCATAACTGTTCCCAGTCAGCAAACATAATATTATGTCCAACATCTTGTGCCCATTTATGAAGGTACATTTTTTCACCTTTGGTGGATGTGCCCAAAGATTAAGGCTTTCTGGGAAATGATATATAATGAATTAAAAAAGGTATTCAAATATACCTTCCCTAAGAAACCAGAGGCCTTTCTCCTGGGCATGGTCGGCCAAATGGTGATAAAAAAGGATAGAACTTTCTTTATGTATGCAACAACAGCAGCAAGAATACTCATTGCAAAGTATTGGAAGACACAAGAACTTCCCACACTGGAGGAATGGCAGATGAAACTGATGGACTATATGGAACTGGCAGAAATGACTGGTAGAATCCGTGACCAGGGAGAAGAGTCGGTGGAGGAAGATTGGAAGAAATTCAAAGATTATCTACAGAAACACTGTAAAATTAAAGAATGTTAGAGTGATGTTGGATTGAAAATAAGTGGTTTCCAGCTGTACAGGATTTAAAGTTATAGATAGACTAAGATTAAGGATTAGGATTAAAGAAGTTTAAGGAAATGGAAATTTGGCTTTTAAGAGGTAAAATTTTAATGTTATATTATATTAAGATTAAATATTGGGATTAAAAAAGAGGGAAAGAAATTGCTGGACAAACAATTTGAATTGGAATACAAAAGAGGGAGGTATGAGGAGGTCCAGAAAATAAGTAAATTTAAAGATGGAAATGAAAAGGTGATATTGTTTTTAATTGTTCTTTTTTTTCTTGTATTTTGTTTTTTTTTGGTTCTTTTTGTTCTTTCTTTTTTGGATTATGTATTGTGCTTTTTTGAATTGTGTATTTTTCGTTTATGTTTTTCTGTTCAATCTTTTATTGAAACCTTAATAAATATCATTTAAAAAAAAATCTTGTGCCCATTTAATCATAGCAGATTTCACCGTTTCATCCTAAGTATTCCATTTCAACAGCAAGTTATACATTCTTGACAAATTTTTAGTTTTGGGTTCTAACAGTTCTGTTTCTAATTTTGATTTTTCCACCTGGAAGCCAATTTTCTTATCCAAATTATATGCCTCCATTATCTGATAATAATGAAGCCAGTCTCTCACTTTATTTTTTAGTTTCTCGAAACTCTGCAATTTCAATTTATCTCCTTCTTGTTCCAAAATTTCCCAATATTTCGGCCATTTGATGGCTTAAATTCTCAGACAAAGCAGCGGTCCCACACCCTCTCAAACCATCCATCCATAGAGAGACACAGTGCAGACTTCCAACTTCTGGTGATTTCTAGTCTGGCTGCAGCCAGCAACAGAGCTAGCAGCTCCTTGTGAACAAGAGTGGGATTTAAATCACTTTCAATTATATCTTGTATGTTTGCTTGTTTTGTGTTATATATTTACTTTCAGCTAAATGACCACAAAACTAGGAAGAGGACAGAAAGAAAAAACAAACAAACAGGAAGAAACACCAGGGCACTTTCAGACTGTGGCTGTTTTTGGGTCTCAGTGCACCAACACAGGTAGTTGTAGTGCGGCCACAGTCTTGCCTCCTGGACAAGGAGGAGAATGGTCTGAGGAAAGGCATGGAGAACCTTATTTGGCTGCATGGCCTGAGGTTCCTAACCCATAGGTTCACCCATAGGTTTAGCGAAGTGCAAGTTAGGGAAACACTTGTCCTACCAACCCTACTGTATCACTGTGAAACACCGACCACTTATAAATGCCATCTCCAGCTCCTCAAAAGATTCCATCAACAGTTTCTCCAAAAAAATTTCCACATCACTTGGAAAGACAGGTGAACTAATATCAGTGTACTGGAAGAAGCAAAGATCACCAGTGTAGAAGCAATGATTCTTCAACATCAACTTCACTGGACTGGTCATGTTGTGTGGATGCCTGATGATTGTCTTCCAAAGCAACTACCTGTACTCTATTTCAAACTTAAAAACAGAAAGTGTAATGCTGGTGGTCAACAAAAGAGGTTTAAAGGCTCTCTCAAGGCAAATCTTTAAAAACGTAGTATAAACACCGACAACTGGGAAACACTGGCCTGCAAGTGCTCCAATTGGAGAACATCCTTTACCAAACGTGTCATGGGCTTTAAAGACACTCGAACTCAGGACAAAAAGGAGAAACGCACTAAGAGGAAGGCATGCTTGGCAAACCCTCACCATGATCAACTTCCGCCTGGAAACCTATGTCCCCACTATGGAAGGATGTGTGGGTCCAGAACTGGCCTCCACAGTCATTTGCGGGCTCACTGTTAAAACCATGTTTATAGAAGGCAATCTTACTTGGCTATGGGTGATCATCAAAGAAGAAGAAGGGAAACACTAACTCAGAGAAAGAGAGATGGGGGGGGGGAGAGAAGGAGCCCAGTTATTAGTAGCAAATTCGTGGGTTTTTGTTTTTAAAAGAACCCTGGAAGCACTTTTAGGTCAGTTTTTAAGCGCCTTTGTATGACTAGAACATTTGCTAGCCCCTTAATGAGGTAGCGTCTGCATATTAAGGAAACTAATGAATGTATGGTGTGGTAAAATAGCACATAGATTTTCTTTTAAAAGCATCAATCAGTCAGTCAATCAATCAATCAATCAATCAAGGTGGGGAAATTCCTGATCTTTTAAAAGGGTCATTCTGTTCCAAATTTCCTGTTTCTCAGTGTTGAAGGCTATTAAAAAAATAATAATAATATGTGTCGGCACCAGGTAGTAGTTCATAAAAGCTGAACTTTGATTCCGTTTCCTGTTCATGGAAATGTTAAGCTTTTAAGATTTGTCAATTGTCCCTTTGTGTTTATTAAGAGGACCCCATTGCATTCTGAATTCTGAGATCCAAAGGAAATACCTCTATTCAAATCCAAACATTGGGAAACGATAAATTGCCAGTAATAAAAAATACCCCTTTCTTTGCTGAGATAAGCTATGGAATTGGAGTGTTGTGTTTTCCATCACTAGCAAAGTGGTCACATACAACTTATGCACCACCAGCCTCACAGCTGATTGTCGAATCGTCTCTGCACAGCATCCACAGAGCCAGCAAATCTCGCACAAGGGAGCAATTCACTGACTCTGCTAATGGATCTACATCAATATAAGTGGCCATTGAATCGTACCAAACGCTTGTAGAATCACAAAGTGATAATCCTTCGATCTGTGCTTCCTTCCATTTCCTTGTTTCACCCATCTGACAGCATCTGTGAAAAAGATATGGCAAATTTCCTGTGTATTCAATCATCTGCTGGTTTACAGCTTGGACAAAAAAGCAAAAAGAAAAGAAAAGAAGAAAGACTCCCACAAGGACGTTAAAAGCATAAATAGAAGGAGCTTAGTGAGGCAAGTGTCTCCATGGATGGAAGAAACTATGCATTGTCTGATATGCTTCCACAGAAATTTCACTGGTCTTTAAAGGCACTTCCTCCTTGGAGCTCCTAAACAGAATGTCAGTCTCTCGATTGTCCCCAAGTCCCCACCCATGTGTAAAAGGGCTGGTTTATTAGATTGGGGATGGGGCACCTGTGGCCCTCCAAATGTTGCAGAGCTACAACTTCCATCCTCTCTTACCGTTGACCTTGCTGGCTGGGGATGATGGGCGCTGGAGTTCAAAGTGCATCTGTGCAAGAATGTTGCATGAGAAAAGTCAAACTCAACAATGTACATTGGAAGCTGCCAAGTCAGACCCAGATTGTCTGCATTGTCTGGCAGCGACTCTCCAAGGTTTCAGACAGACCACATTCCCAGAGTACCTAACCCTATCTGTGTAGCAATTGCAGGGCTGGACTCTCGTTTAAGCTCTTGCACAAGTGTTTAGGGAACAGTGCTAGCAAGCTATTTCCCTTCCGCCCACAGTTCTCTGGCTCTGTTTTTGTGAAATTCCAACCTGGTCTCAAGCCAAATAAACAATGAAGAGAGAGGAAACCGATATTTGGGAATACTGTATGTTCCAAAACCCTATATATGCTTTTTCTTATATGTGTCTGTGGAGTTAATCTGAGCCAGGGTTTAACTGGACTCAGCTCCAGAGACTGATTTCAAATGCCAGGGCTCTGCACTTAAAGCAGAAAAGAGAGAGAGACTCTGGGGATGTGCAGAATGTTTTTCTTAAGTCCCAACTGGGCTGCATCCACTGCATGTGAAGACAGGCTCTCGTGGATCGAGCAGACGAGACCAAGAATAGGTCCAATGATCAAAAAGGCGGTTTCTGCATGTGCTGTAGAGGGAAGCAAGGGTGCCTGCCAACTTGATACCCATCAACTTTGGGAGCTCCCGGACCCCTCAAATATTTAAGGGGGGATGAAGGGACCTCAGCCCCTAGGAACTGGCTCCTATGGAGGGAAGTGAGAAGTAGATGGGACTTGTCAACCTGGAAAGGGAGCTCATTTAAGAGAAGGGAAATTCTGATCCTGAACCTCTTCTGCCTTGCAAGATATCTTTGGGAGAAGAAAAGAGTAGGGGGTAGACCCTACACAAATCTGGAGTGGAGTCCCTAAGACTGTTGGATGGTGCTTTGTACACCTCCTTCCAGCAACTCCTGCAGCCAAGCTGGTGCCAAACATATTGCTCTGCTTTCCTTTGGATTACATCGGCAAGGTCAAGAAGGGGGTCTTGTCACCTGGGCAGCCCAGTACTTCCATACAGACTGCCCAGGCTTGCACCCCGGAGAGGTCACTTTGGAGCTGCTTCTCCAAGTGAATATAATGTACTTCAGTCAAGCGTATTAAGCACCTCTTGGTGATCAGTAATATAAAAGGGATGGTTCAGGATTAGAGAATATGGTAGAGAAGGATGCCCAGTTGTCCATGTTGAGTGGAGATTCAATTGCCAGTCTGATTGGCTTCTGTATCTGGAAGGGGGAAAGGTGCAGCAAAATGTTTTGGAGTTGCCTAGAGTAACAAGTGCCTGGAATTTCTGTTCTCCTAGCTGTCCTTTGTGAGGTCACGCATGGATCTTCCTTTGGGTTGCTTGTCATGAACCAGCTTTTGTGAGATCATAGGCATGCTTCCGGATGGAAGGAGCCCTACATCATCGAGCAGCGTCGTAATCTGAGCCATTCGCCTGCATGGCTCTGCGTCTCATCCAATGGGAGTTGTTAGAGTGTCTTTCGTTTCTGTATACAGACAAAGGTAGAATTAATGTATGTGTTCTAAAAGCAACCGAGTCAGAGGGAAAGGGGGATCAGGGAAAGAGTGCAGATAGGTAGGAACTTTAATGATCTCCTTTATTTCCAAGCTTCCTTGATATTTTCTGAATTCCAACATGAGTGACTAATATTCCAAATTAACTTTCGCCCAATAGTGAGGCACTGCCAATAAAGAAATAGTTTGTTCACAACTCTGATTGATAATGCAGCCTGTAGGACAATTGACATTACTGTAAATAAATGTATAAATCTCAGCAGTGGCCACAACGGGCAGTACAGTGTCCCTTGAATTGCAAGAGTATATAAACTTTAACATACCCGATTAACAAAATGTTCCACTTGGCCTGCTTTTCCCTTCCAGTGGCATAAAGAGAGATTTTGCAGACAGTCATTAGGTTTAAATACCTGGTACAGTGATCCCTTTTAAGCCTCTCCCACAGGTTTTGTTAAAAGGCAAGCTTACCTGTGCCTTGCTTTAAAGACACAGACAATATTCCTACAGTTTCATTGTTCATGACCTGGTCTGGACTTTTTAGGGTTTTAATAATAATGATGTTGATGTTGATATGGCATATAGTGACTGGGCTTAATCCTACGTAGGACTCCATCTTGTACCTAATTCTATACCTCTGAAAACAGTGAGGCTGGCAAGATTGGAGCTACCCATTGCCAAAGTAGAAAAACAGAAGAAAGGAACGAACCTGTGACCCCGTCTCCCATCAACCCCAGACAGCAGGGATGATGGTCAGGGATGTTGGAAAGTATAGTCCAACAGTATCTGGAGGACCACAATTTCCCCATCTCTGCCGTAAACTGATTAGGACATATTGCTGTTTTCAGGTTGACAAAGAAGGGATTTGGACCCTCCATTGCTATAGGGAATCACCATGTGGCACAGGATCTACAGTACGGGTGGGAAGAGGTAGGTCGTTCTATGTCATTAACAGCACGTGCATCCCGTGCCCATATCTTCAGATGTGGAGGGTGTGACCCCGTGAAGGCAGGGCCTTTTTGGTGGAGACTCCTCAGTTGTGGAATAGGTTCTCCAGGGATCTTGGCTGCCACCTAGCATGTGACCTTTTGAGCACAGACTGAAGGCAATTTTATTCTCTCAAGCTTTTAATCAGTGATGTACAATTGACTCCTGCGTTTGCTATTTCGCTCTTTTTATTGCTTACTTTTATGGTGGATATTGCCGTTTGGCTTCAGCTTTCAATGTCACTTTCTAGCTCAATGTTAATTGTTGATATTAAACCTTTATTCGTAGGAGGCTTGGGCGCCACTTAAATTGCAACATGGGATAAAACTTTAAAATATTTAAATCACTAATACATAGTTCTTTAATCTGGTATTATTTCCATTTAAAGGACCGATAGATTAATCTTGGAGTGTCTGAAAATGGAACATTGCGTGTTGTTTGATTTGCAAGTTGATTTGCAGTTTCTTTAACAGTATGTAGATTAGGACTATACAGCCTTAAAATCACACTTTTGAACTCTGAAACTAAATGTCTCTTAGCTCTGGCCTTGAATCTGAGGTATGAAGGGATTGTTTAGGCCATAACAAGGGGTGTCTCTAAATTTCCCACCAGAAATCCTGCTTTTAGTGTTGGCAGTTCCAGTCCTCTGGAATAGGCATCTACTGCAGAAGTTGATTTTGCTTAAGAAGGCTGCCCCAAAGTGTGAAATATTAGGAAATATTAATTGAACATTTGTATGAATTGGTTTGTTGTTTTTAGAGTTTGTTGAAATGGGTTTAATTGTTTTTAGAAATTGTGTTTTCTGTACAGGCAACCCCTGATTTGTGTGGGGGTTGCATTCTAGGTCATTGTGTGTGACAGGGGAAGGTGTATAAGCCTGGTCTACCCCACCCCACCCCAAGTTTTGCCCCCTTTTCTAGCCACTTCCGGGTCATCATGATGTGCACAGTTGCGCACATATCGAACGCATGTCAATCGGTCATTGCCTGCATTTTGTTTTTATCTTGTTTTGCATCACTTTGATGGCCTCAGGCTGCAACACGGTTTATAGACTCCTAAGATCATTACATCCAGGGTCTGAAATTAAGTACTTGCACCTCTAGTGAGAATCGGGCTCCCCACTATTTCATTAGTTATGGAAAAACAAATTATGTATTGAAGAATGTATTAAGTATGCATTAGGTATAATGTATGGTTTTTGCCAGTGAATATAATAATGTATAATCTATAGATTAAGCTAACATGGAAGGGGTAACCCAAACTTGATTGCAACCTGAGAATCCAGGCTGTAGGTATTTTTAGCTGAAGATGGCGCAAACATCCTCTTTAATTATCTGTAACAAAATCTCCTAATCCTGTATCCTCAGGAGATGATGAGCAGTCATCAGTTAACCCCATTTAATATACAGCTGTTTGAAATGAGAGGAAGTCTGTGTAGTCAAGCATTTTCAGCACAGTGAAATTGAGTAAAAAAAAGGTAATATAAACCTGTCGAAGAAAATATCAGGAAAAGTAAGTGCTAGGATGATGGGGGCCTACAGGAAACAGATTGAATTATTTACACACATAGAATGATAATGCAGTAAATATATCCGGAAAGCCGTGGCTTATCCTTTATACACGGCAGGTTCCAATTAACCTACAGCCTGTGAACATCCAAATCCATTATATTCAGAGTTTAGGAAAGAGAATGTAATTGATTTAATGGTAACTTAATGGCACACAATTTTATACCATATTAACAACAATTAGATTTTTTCTCTCCTCCTGTTATGGGATGGCAACTGTGGAGCAGTAGTACCACTGCTTCTGTGTGTTTTTAAAAATTCTGTCAGGGCTTTTTTTGGTGGGGGGGTGAGGGAAAGGATTTGTACAACTCAATCCTTCTCCATACTGAACGTTTAAGACAAGTACCATCTCATATTGGGTTGGATTCTGACAAAAGCTGCAGTCTGACCTAAGCCCCCTGAAGTGCCACCGAACCCAGGAGGACTTACTTCCGAGTAGACATGGTTGGGATTGCACTTGTTCTCCACTGAAATCAATGGGATGTAAGTAATGACCAATGCAGGTTCAACTAAGTTAGGATTTAATTACCTATTGACAAATCCAGGTTGCGCAATTAAGGTAGATTTAAAGCTCTTACACAACAAACCCACTTCCCCCTCCCATACTCATAGCTGTCAACATTTCCCTTTTTCAAAGGGAAATTCCCTTATTCTGAATAGGATTCCTTGCAAGAAAAGGGAAAAGTTGACAGCTATGCCCATACTGGATGGGGAAATGCGCTTGAAAGTGCGAGGGAACACCTGATGCAATGCTGTCTACCCTCTCCACAAGCAGATCAGCACAAATGATCCATAAATAACAGCCAACGTTGCTGAACAGCAACTTCAGGCAAACAAACAATCCTTCAGGATCTATCCTTCCAGTGAGCACTCAGGGCTGTTTTCCTTAAGAATGGATAGGTTTGATCTTCTTGCAGTCTATGGGACTCTCAAGAGTCTCCATAATAATATATGTATACCCCACCCATCTGGCTGGGTTTCCTCAGCCACTCTGGGCGACTCCCAACAGAATATTAAATATCATCAACGATAAAACATCTAACATTAAAAACTTCCCTGAACAGGGCTGTCTTCAGATGTCTTCTAAAAGTCAGATAGTTGTTTATTTCCCTGACATCTGATGGGAGGGCGTTCCACAGGGCAGGTGCCATTACCGAGAAGGCCCTCTGCCTGGTTCCCTGTAACCTCCCTTCTCACAGTGAAGGAACCGCCAGAAGGCCCTTGGTGCCGGACCTCAGTGTCCGGGCTGAACGATGGGGGTGGAGACGCTCCTTCACGTATACTCCTTCAGATTCACCTTAGCGCTATGCTTCTCAGTTTCACAAGTACTTCATCTTGGGGGGGGGGTCTAAGAACCATGGATTTAATGTGCCCCCACTCTGGCCTCCGGCTCCTTGGAGTGCTCACTAGAGACTGCTCCCCGTCACCAGGCCAAACCTCTGACCAACTTTGCTCCAAGTCCCCTATGATTCCTTTTGGCTGGCTGGAATGTGTCCTCAAATTTGATCTGCTTCTAGTTTTTGAGGATGAAGGATGAATCTGTGTGTTTGTGTTCGTAGAAACCTCTGACTTTTGAATGGCAAGGAAGTTGCATCCATTGCCCTGCCCATGCTTGCATCTGGCTGCACCCATCTTTGACTTCTGGCCATGCGCGTTACTGAAGGGATTGCTGCACTCCTACCTTGGCTGCATTCACACCATAAATATAAAGCACTACAGTACCACTTTAAAAAATCATAGGATCATCTAGTCCAACCCCCTGCCATGCAGGAATCTCAGCTAAAGCATCCATGACAGATGGCCACCCAGTCATGGCTTCCCGCAAAGAATCCTGGGAGCTGTAGTTAGTTTGAGGTGCTGAGAGTTGCTAGCAGATCCCTCTCCTCAGAGCTAACATTCCCACCCAGAGAGGTTTAACAATCAATCCTTCGTCACAGGGAACTCTGTGAGGGAGAAGGAATACTTTGTTCTGTCTTTCTTTCGTCTTTCTCCAAACTGGATGCCATTGCCTCTTGCTTTTATTCATTTCACAGTATTTCTGCTTTCATTTAGATGTAAATAAATAATGCCTTGGGTTAGAAAAATATAAATTTATTTTGCAGAACTATTTGTGGTTGCTTTTCTAAATTTTTTCATTATTATTATTACTATAGCAAGTAATACCCTGCCATCTAGTGGAGAAAAGAACCACCCAGTTTTACATGCCTGATGATGCCGGATATATGAATTCCCTTCACCTTTAATACACAGAAATCAATCCTTATGATTAGGAGTTAACATCATGCTCATGCATTCACTTAGATTCATGCCTGCGATCAATAAATTTGGATAGAAAATCTCAGGCTAACGCTAGTTTGATGCCAGTACTTATTCTCAGCTTAAATCTATGTAACATCGACTATTTAAAATGGCAACTTTTATATTATTTTAATATTCTGTGCATTTCATTGAAGAAGAAGAAACACAGCAAGAGCAGAAAATGGAACTCTGAGGACAGGCTGACTGTCATAAAGGCTAACTATTATTTGTATCTCATCCTTTTGACTTGCAGACTTGTTATGTGATGTGTTAGCGGATGTGTCCATCTTGCTCCTAGAAATGTTTTTTGTCTTTAGCGTTTCTTTGCTTGCGGCAAATTGGTTGCCCTATATTTCCTCGAAGTTTTGCATGTCACTGATCATCGATACAGGGGATTTGTGGTGATGTGCAGAATTTGTGATATCTTCTCCAGATACAACTGGAGAGGAAGGGGATGTTCAATCCATTGTGTGCATGGAAGGATGTGCTGGGTACAAATGATGATGATGTACAACCAGTGCTTTTTTTCTGGGGGTACACAGGGGTACGCATACCCCTAAACATTTGTGAATCTAAGTTTGGCCTCATTGAGGGGCAGTATTTCAATATGAGTAGGAAGATGAAAGTATCCCTAAACATATTTTTTTTAGAATAAAAGCACTGGATACAACACTTCTTCCAAAAGCAGTCAAGGGCTGTGCACAACAATAATCAAAACATCTAAGTGTTACAAAACTAAAACAATATAGTACCACAGCATGGTACTAGAACTGCTAGATTCAGACCATGTATTCGTTGGCATTTGGTGTGTGGGTGTGTGGGTGTGTGGGTGTGTGTGTACACACACACACACACACACACACACACATATATATACATGGTGGAATCTCGGGCTACATACCGTCCTCCTTACGAACGCTTCAGGTAACGAGCTGTGCTAAGTAGGTGTTCCGGGTAGCAAACTTTGCCCTGGGATGCAAGCGGAAGTCGCGCGGCACCAGGAGGCCCCATTAGTGAAAGTGTGCCTCAGGTTAAGAACAGACCTCTGGAACGAATTAAGTTTTTAAACAGAGGTACCAGTGTGTGTGTGTGTTGAGACTGCAGACTGAAAGAATAAAGAAACTTATGGTTTATTACCAATGGCAAGCAAAGCCATTGTGAGTACAAGCTTATATGTGGCCATCATGGAGTCATAACAAAAGACAGAACACTAACTGACTGAGGGAGGAGGAGAAAGGAAGTAAAGCCTGAGAGAAAACAAATCTGCAGGTAGTTGCTTGATCAGCGAGGGATGAAAAGGTTGCCTTTCTGTTTATTGCCTTCTGCTGGTTCAGATAACTTACTGCAAGTGTTGCTACTCCCAACAGTACTGGCCCTTTTCTATCTGCTGTTCCTGGAGACAGGACTAGTTTCCCATATTTTAAAACTGGATCCATTGGCCATAAATTGTGGAGTACTACTCAAGTACAAAGGAACCAACTTGGCAAAAGGTATACCATACCCTCCAAAATTTTCTGATGAAATGGGGACGTCCTATTCCATAATAATAATTTTACTATTTGTACCCTGCCTATCTGACTGGATTGCCCCAGTCACTCTGGGCAGCTTCCAACACATATATTATACAAACATTAAACATTAAATAACTTCCCTATATGGGGCTGCCTTCAGATGTTACGGACAACTGTATAACCTCCAACATTTATCCGATGTAAATAGGGATGTCCTAAGGAAAAGCGGGACATTCAGAAAGTGGGACGGCTTCTGTAAATCCGAGATTGTCCCTGGAAAATAGTGACACTCGGAGAGTCTGTTACATGGGAGAGAGCTTGTCCTATAAGAACAGGAATAAAAAGACTGTCTTTATGCTGGTTCTCTCTCAATGGCCTGTTTCATCTTGTTCGTTTTCCCTCAGTTTCATTTCCCTCAATGAACTTTTCTGTTTCCTAGCATTTGAAAAAATAGCCTTGAACTGGTGTAGCTTGTTTCTAGGTTTCAAGCTCATTTTATACAGCCAAGAGAGGCACTCTTTTCAGGGTTGTTTTTCCCCTCTTTTTTGAATTTTGAATGACGTCCTGAGGCAAGAATTGTCCTGTTTCTTAGCAACCCAGATGGGTTGAATACATTTATGCATTCAAACCTCTTTGTATAACAAAAAAGAAAGAAAAAAGAAGAGCACAAACATCTCCCAGAACAAACATTGCTGTTATGAGACTCTCCTCTCTCTCTGTGTGTGTGCTTGCTTTGCTCTAACCAGGGCTGCAAAGGGGAAAATGTGATCCGGCATGAAACACTTGGGAAAGGACTTGGCTTTAGAGAGGGTGAGTAGAATCTCCTTGCTTCTTCAGCTCTGTCTCCTTTATAAGGGTTGCAGTTTTACCGTTATTAATAACTAGGGCAACACTTAAAATAATTGTGATGGCATCAGGGAGAACTGTGTATATAGCCAGAGGAGATTTCAAAAGTTCTCACCACAATTTCTAAAAAATGCAAGTTTGTATTTCACAGCCTACTGTTGGAAAAACGAAATCCCAACACCTACTCCATGCCAAGTTCAGGGTTCCTGGGCTGATGTACAAATCCCAGAACAACTTAGGTCCAGGATAGCTTAATATAAAGCTCAAACACTGTCATCATCTGGAGGAGTGCAGTTAATTGTACCCGCCTCCCACTCCTCCCTGTAGCAGAGGCCCACCTGGAGGAACTAGAGGCTGGACATTTAGGGTTGCTGATCCCATGCTTTGGAACACCTTCCAAGAGAGATTCACTAAGCATCCTTGCTACTGACTTTCAGGTGTCCCTTGCAGACTTGTTTAGCTGACAGGCCTTTGCACCTGTCTGGTTTTTATTTTTGCTTAGCCAGTCACCTTAAATATTAACTTTTAACAGTGGCCACATGACCTGGAAGCTGTACGCCGGCTCCCTCGGCCAATAAAGCGATATGAGCGCCGCAACCCCAGAGTCGGTCACGACTGGACCTAATGGTCAGGGGTCCCTTTACCTTTACCTTTAACCGTGTACACCGCCTTGATATCTTGGCAGTACAGATATACTTCTATAAAGGCATAAATATCTGGCTGTGAATATATCAGCATATGGGAATACAAGCTAGCTATTGATTGCATTTTTCCTTCAGGGAAGGAACTTTTTTTGTTTTGTTTTGCATTCTTGTTGGGTGGGGAGTAAATGTATGTGGTGGTGTTTTGCTGGGTACCATGTATTGCCTGAGCACAACTTAGTACAGTGGTACCTCAGGTTACATACGCTTCAGGTTACAGATGCTTCAGGTTACAGACTCCGCTAACCCAGAAATAGTACCTCACGTTAAGAACTTTGCTTCAGGATGAGAACAGAAATTGTGCTCCGGCAGCGCGGCGGCAGCAGGAGGGCCCATTAGCTAAAGTGGTGCTTCAGGTTAAGAACAGTTTCAGGTTAAGAACCGACTTCTGGAACGAATTAAGTTCTTAACCCAAGGTACCACTGTAATCAGTTACATTCAGAATGAAAAAGCGCTTTATATGCATTATAACACTGTGACACCAGATGGCACTGTGGAGTCCCATCTTTCACAAACACGATTTCCCTTTATGAAGTTTACAACGTGTTTAACTGAAACACTTTATTGATGTGTCTCAGTCCAGACCTAGCCAGTTTTTTTCGATGGTGACTTCTTCTGTCTGCCCAAAGGAAGCGATGCAGTGGGCGTATTTTCATGGATTGTTGCTGTTGTTTCTAAACAGCTGTTTTCTGCAGAATTGTATTAAAAATAAATTTGTATGATAAATCAGTAATAATCGAAGTCTTTCTTCTTATTCCTCTTCCTCTTTACCTCTTTACCTTGTTTAGGCATAGAGCGGCGAGTGCAGAATGTTCCCCAATATCCATGCTGGGAACCAATCGAAGTGTACTTTCGATTTGAAGGGGAGATTTGCTACGAACCTGGAGCTAGCCTTACAACGAGATCGAGTCAATGAGTCTCAGCCACTCACAGCCCCTCTGGAAAAGGATAGCTGCCTAAAACAACCTCCTGATTTCAGCTACAGGCTTTATATCACCCGAGGCCTTCTCAGGAAGCCGCGAGGAAAGTCGAAAGAGCTGAAAAAGAAATCGCCCCCAAGCACGGTGCAGGAAGAGTTGCAGAGGATAAGGTCCAATTTATTTTTCTCCATCGTGGAACGCGAACAGGAGCCCAAGATCATCACAAGGTTTCCCCACATGGGTCCCTACGAAGCCCAGCTAATGTTTGTGAAGATGGGAAAGTTCAAGAGCAGCAAATACCAAGATCCAAAACCATTTGACTATAGACAGGTAAAGGGAAGGATGAATTGAGATAGAGGCAACTGGAAAAGGGTGGCCTTTGGTGGGGATGGGGATCGAGGCAATGCACTGCACCAGGTGTGGGTAGACTACAAAGCTTCTGGAATCTACTTTGTGCTGCCCCAGATGTATTGGGACATTTATGCACAATCTCACTTTCAATACCATTTACACAGTTTTGGGGTGGACATACCGCTTTGTTTCCTGTCAATGCATGTCCCATGACTTCTTGCTTAAAACATTTAACTTTTCATACTACAAATGTTCCAGGTTTGTTTGATTGCTTTCCTGCTTTCATTGTGCTGCAGCGCAAGACTGTCCCTCCAGACAGCAATAACGTAGTAACTAACATCAGGGAAGCGTCACAGAGCAACTAATAAAGCAAAATGACCTGTGGATGGTCCACAGCATAAATCTACCACAAATGCATTATTATTGTGTTAATGGCATGTTGCAGAATAACCTGCAAACAACAACAACCAGCCAAGACGGACTGTTTGGGGTGGTTTATTTATTTATTTGTTTTAACTATACGGTAGTACCTCGGTTCATGAACACCTTGCGAGTTGAACGTTTTGGCTCCTGAACGCCGCAAAGCCAGAAGTGAGTGTTCTGGTTGGCGAAGGTTCTTTGGAACCCGAACGTCCAACATGGCTTCCACTGCTTCCGACTGGTTGCAGGAGCTTCCTACAGCCAATCAGAAGCCGCGCCTTGATTTCCGAACGTTTGACTTCCGAGGTACCACTGGAGTTCTAAGATCTACAAGTTGGAGCCAAGTCTTTACACAGTGGCTCAGTCAGACAGATGTACATATAGAATTGAAAAAGGCTAAAGGGTACTTCTGAGAACATGCTCGGCCCAGAAATTTGCTTTTCTCACCAGGGTGGGTTTCGCACAGAAATTCAATCCTGGTCTGCCCCCCACAAGTTTTCTTCATTTCAGCAGTGAGAGAGGCACATATTTTCATTTGATGCTTTTCTTAAGGAGCCAGACGTCAGAAACCCTTGCAGTCTAACTCAACTCACCTAGAAATCTACCATTAAAGCTTAGCTTTCCTTCTGCCTTTACACATAGGGATTGGGGGGACTTGATTCCATTCTCCTCGAAAGGTGAACCTACCTAATTCACACTTCCTGAAATAATACTTGAATCAAAATACAGCAATCCTTTGAAATTTGCATTTCTCCAAATTTTGCAGTGTGCTTCTCCGGCCAAGAGATATGTACAAAAATGCATGTACTAGAGGAAAGCACGTATATAAAAGCATGAAAGACAATAGGAATACTGCTTTGCAAAAATGTCAGTATTGGGCAAAATTGTATGCTACAATGCTGGTGAATTTTCATGAGGACTTTAAAAAACCCACCTAATGTGAAGAACCAAAATAAATATTAGAAAAATGAGAAAATGAGAGAACCCTAAATTGACAGTTTCGCCTATCCCTACCTACATAACACAGAAGCTGCATCATTTCTGTTTGGTGTGTCTATAACAGGCATAGGCAAACTCCAGCCCTCCAGATGTTTTGGAACTACAATTCCCATCATCCCTAGCTAACAGGACCAGTGGTGAGGGATGATGGGAATTGTAGTCTTAAAACATCTGGAGGGCCAGAGTTTGCTTATGCCTGGTCTATAAAGTGCACACACACCAAGAAACACACACAAGCAACAGAATTTAGTGTCTCCACAAGATGGCACTATTGCAACAAATGCTTTGGTCAAATGAATTCAGTGATGTGGATCACATTTATCTTTTCCTTATAGTGTAGTTGGGTTATGTGGTTCTATTAGCCTTTGAAAAATGTCTTTGACGCCTCAGGGCTCTTCAGAAACTTTTTAAACATTGGGATCTTCATCTTCAATCATGGTACTCTGTTGGTGACTGGATTTTTTCATGAGACTTAAATTATTTTATAGAGGCACATTAATGTCCAATACAGCCATTTCTGGGGACACGGGTGGCGCTGTGGGTTAAACCACAGAGCCTAGGACTTGCCGATCAGAAGGTTGGCGGTTTGAATCCTCGCGATGGGGTGAGCTCCCATTGCTCGGTCCCTGCTCCTGCCAATCTAGCAGTTCGAAAGCACGTCAAAGTGCAAGTAGATAAATAGGTACCACTCCGGCAGGAAGGTAAACGCCATTTCCGTGTGCTGCTCTGGTTCGCCAGAAGCGGCTTAGTCATGCTGGCCGCATGACCCGGAAGCTGTACGCCGGCTCCCTCAGCCAGTAAAGCGAGATGAGCGCTGAAACCCCAGAGTCGGTCACAACTGGACCTAATGGTCAGGAGTCCCTTTACCTTCACCTTACAGCCATTTCTAATGCATTTCATTGTATTTCTCCATTCAGCCACAACACAAATTAACAGGTTAACCCTCCCTGTGGTATTAAAAAAAAAATCAATATCATTACTTTTATCGCACCGAACATTTACGGTTGCAACTAGGACAGGAGGCCTTTCCACCTGGTCCTCAGGACTCTTCCTAGGCCTCATCCCTTCCCAGGCCAAACCCCTCACTGGATCTGCACCCTTCTTGAGTATTTTGCCTGGAAGATGCAAAGAGGTGTAGGGCAGTTCTGAGCTAGATGGACCAATGGTCTTCCTCAACAGAAGGCAGCTTCCTATGTCCCTATGAGTGTTTCTGGCTGGCTGGAATATGTTCTTCAGCCCTTACTTCAATGAAGGACAGAGAAGGGTGCATGAGTACATGTAGGAAATAGCCTACCATACAAAGGTAAACTTTAGATTGGTTGCTCTCCTACTTTTCCCTCTCATCTCATGTACCACTAGCATGCAGCAGGTTGCTTAAAAGGAAATGTGGCCCCAGACAGAAATTGGTCCTCAGACCTGACTTAAAAGATTTTTCATTGAAAGACGGCCCTGCTTATGCGGTCACATGTGAACCTTATGATGTTAACAAAGGGCAGGTGTTTACTAGCAGAACCGGTTAAGAATGTGTATACGGAGATGATTATCTGAGGTGCTTTGAAAAGCTAAGATTAGCATTTCTGTACTAAACTTACTGGATAATTTATTCCTGCCTTAAACCAGGAAGTGACTGTATATTATTAACGACAGCTGTGTGTCTTCTGTTGACTTTTGAGAGCCTCAGAAGTTTACAAATCAGTTTTATTGATGTTAGCTGAGCAGTTTAACAACTGAGTATGTGGCAAGAAATGAGCTCTGTCCGGTTCCAGGATCACTTCTTGTTTGTTTATTTCTTTTAGAGAATCTCTACCCTACCGATGTGGGGATCCAGGGCACAGTCCTTCAATGGCTGCGCTCGTTTCTCTCTGGTCGGGGACAGAGGGTGGCGCTTGGGGGGGGAATTGTCATCGCCCCACTCCTTGGTGTGTGGAGTACCTCAGGGTGCGATACTCTCCCCGATGCTTTTCAACATCTTTATGCGCCCCCTCGCCCAGCTTGTCCGGAGTTTTGGGCTGGGTTGCCATCAGTATGCTGATGACACCCAACTCTATCTGTTGATGGATGGCCATCCTGACTCGGCCCCAGACACACTGACCAGATGTTTGGAAGCTGTGGCTGGATGGTTACGTGGGAGCCGGTTGAAGCTAAATCCTTTGAAGACAGAGGTCCGGTGGCTGGGACGGGACGATATGGGATTGGGGGGGGCAACTCCCATCTCTTGCGGGGGCGCAATTAGTGCCAGCACCGTCTGTTAAGAGTTTGGGTGTAATCTTTGACACCTCCCTTTCCATGGAGGCGCAGATTGCAGCTACAACAAAGGTGGCATTTTTCCATCTCCGCCAAGCTAAGCAGTTGGCTCCTTACCTCTCTCGCCCTGACCTAGCCACTGTGATCCATGCGACGGTCACCTCCAGACTGGATTATTGTAACTCGCTCTACGTGGGGCTGCCCTTGAGACTGACCCAGAAACTCCAGCGGGTGCAGAATGCTGCAGCGAGACTCCTTATGGGGTCTTTGCTGCGAGATCACATTCACCCAGTGCTATACCAGCTGCACTGGCTCCCGGTGGAGTACAGGATCAGGTTTAAGGTGCTGGTTTTAACCTTTAAAGCCCTATACGGCATAGGACCCTCGTACCTACGGGACCGCCTCTCCTGGTATGCCCCACAGATAAACTTACGGTCTTCAAATAAAAACATCTTGAAGGTCCCAGGCCACAGAGAAGTTAGGCTGGCCTCAACTAGAGCCAGGGCTTTTTCGGCCGTGGCTCCGATCTGGTGGAACACTCTGTCACAAGAGACCAGGGCCCTGCGGGACTTGACATCTTTCCGCAGGGCCTGCAAGACAGAGCTGTTCCACCAGGCCTTTGGCCAGGGCACAGCCTGACTCCCTCCCTCGGCAATCTTCGCGGAGCTCTGGCCCAATGGTTGCCAGTGGCTTGAATTAATTAATTTTATAACGAATGATTTTAGACTGTTGTTTATGCTGTACTTTTGTACTGTTTTATTGTTGTTAGCCTCCCTGAGCCCGGCTTCGGCTGGGGAGGGCGGGATATAAATAAAATTTATTATTTATTATTATTATTACCTTGCAATCTGCTAAAATAAGTGTCATTAACCTTTTCGGACCCATGACCCACTTTTAACCCAAACATGCATTTGGAGACCCATTTCTTAGTCTTTTACCACATATCTGCAGTGCTCCTGTTGCCACCCACTTTGAATCAGGCTGCCACCCACTAGTTGAAGACCACAGTGGTACCTTGGTTTATGAACTTAATCCGTTCCAGAAGTCCGTTCTTAAACCAAAATGTTCTTAAACCAAGGCATGCTTTCCCATAGCAGCAGGGGACTTAGTTTACAAATGGAACACACTCAACAGGAAACATAACATGTTCTGCTTCCAAGGCAAAGTTCACAAACCAAAACACCTGCTTCCAGGTTTGCAGTGTTCTTAATCCAAGTTGTTCATAAACTAATTTGTTCTTAAACCAACGTACCACTGTAGTGCCATAAAAGGACCATGGTGTGGCCTCAAGACTGAAACACAACAATACAACCCCCCCCAAAAAACCCCCCACCCTAGTAACATAAATAAATACGGGATATAAATCCATTAAAAAGCAGCATGAAAGAAATGTAGAAATGAAAGCTCACTTATTAAAGCTATGCATATTTAAACTGCATATTTAAAATACATGGCTTCCCATCCAAAGAATCCTGGGAGCTGTAGCTTGTGAGTATGCTGGGAATTGTCCTAATGTGAAAGATAAACTACAGTTCCCAGGATTCTTTGGGGGAAGTCGTGTGTTTTAAATGTGTGGTGTATATCTATCTGTATAGCCTTTGCTTTAAAAGTACAGTGCCACAGCAGGAGGTAAAAAAAACCCTCGACAAACCTAAAATTTTTTAGAAGCATGTCAAAATAAAATAAAATAACCCTGTTTGCTATATCCACAAGGAAGTCTCTGTGAATGGGCAGTAAGAATGACAAGCACCAAAGCATTGCTCCCAAGTTGTTTGCCAGCAAATCCAGGTGTTCCCTCTCCATGTTTTCCCCTATGCAGTATGAGCCAGATAGACCAAATTTTGTGACCAGCTATGCCAGAGACCCTCTGAATCTAAAGTTGAAATCCCAGTGTTTGAGCAAAGGTAAGTCCTCGATGATCTTCAGAAGCAGGTATGACACCCGTTTCGTGCTTCGTTCAAACAGTATAGTTTGAACATCATGTTCTCTCAGTAATAAATTGGATTGGGAAGCTTGTGTTGTGCTGGGCCTGGGGTGTGGTGTGGGATGTGGCTCTCAAGACTCTCTCCAGGCTGTGCTTCCTCCTCCTGGTCCTGCTCTGCACCCTCCTTCCTTGGCTGAAATATGTCCTTGAAATCTGATAATGCTTCTTACTTACTTGGGTGGAGGATAGATAGGGATGCATGAGTCGATATACTATATACTGTCTAGTGGCCTATGGTATAATTGCACTGGATAGCACAGTTGGTTAGAGCACGGTGCTGATAATGCCAAGGTTGCAGGTTCGATCCCCACATGAGACAGCTGCCTATTCCTGCATTGCAGGAGGTTGGACCAGATGATCCTCAGAGTCCCTTCCAACTCTAAAATTCTATGATTCTAGAAAGGTAACATTAATGTCTGCTGCTCTACCAACTTTTGCTGCTGGCCCTGCCTCCCACAGGCCTGCAGCCCTCAGAAGGTTGCCCACAGGACAATGTGCCCCCCATAAGCTGAAAAGGGCTCCTCATCCCTGTAATAAATAATAGAATCATAGACTCATGGAGTTGGAAGGTACCCTGAGGATCATGTAGTACAACCCCCTGCTGAACTATCCAGGAAGTTAAAGAAGGTTGCAGTTGGCTCCCGGTATGCTTCCAAGCACAATTCAAAGTGTTGGTGCTGACCTTTAAAGCCCTAAATGGCCTTGGTCCAGTATACCTGAAGGAGCTTCTCCACCCCATTGTTCAGCCTGGACACTGATGTCCAGCTCTGAGAGCCTTCTGGCAGATCCCTCACTGTGAGAAGTGAAGTTACAGGAAACCAGGCAGAGGGCAGTGGCACCGTCTCATCAGATGTCAAAGAAATAAACAACTATCTGATGTTTAGAGGACATCTGAAGGCAGCCCTGTTTAGGGAAGTTTTTAATGTTATATGTTTTACTGTGTTTTTAATATTCTGTTAAAAACAGTGCCCAGAGTGGCTGGGGAAACCCAGCCAGATGGGTGAGGTATTCAACAAGTTGTTGTTGTTGTTGTTGTTGTTGTTGTTGTTGTTGTTGTTAGACTCTGATAGTTTTAATCTTCATTAAGCAGGCATATTAAGTATTTGGCCCTCACAACAGCCATTATTTCCTTTAGGGAACAATAGTAATAAAGGTTAGCTTCTGGCATATTTATAACACAAAACATTAATGCTAAGATTCTCATTTGACTGTTTATAACACTCAAAAGTCAACATATCATTAGAAACGGGTGATTGTGAAGCTTGGCTAGGCAGTCCAAATCTTCCTCTTTCGTTCCTACACCCCACTTGAATTTCACTTGCCATATTTGACCATGCTGCTGCCATTTAGCATTGTGCTAGGCGCTCTGGAGAATGTGTAAGTGGCACTGATAGACGAGTTCAGAACTGAACATCTACGCTAACTGGTTGCAATCTATGGAGCAGCAAACTCAGCAGAAGGCCGAACATCTGCTGTTGCATTTACAAAACTTCATGCGAATATGTGTCCACCTGTTAGGTAAATGGGATACAGCAAGAGGCACAGGTGTATGATGTGCCTGGTGCAACTCTGGCCACTGATTCTTTATTTATTAAGATATGCATGGCACTTGAGTATAAAAGCAAATAATTTTAATGCGGTTTCCAAAATGAGTAAAAGAATGGAATTATCAGTAAAAAAGAGTGTTTAAAACAACTATTTAAAACATTTTTTGGAGGGGGTGACCCAGTGTGGTGTAGTGGTTAAGAGCGGTAGATTCGTAATCTGGGGAACCGGGTTCGTGTCTCCGCTCCTCCACATGCAGCTGCTGGGTGAACTTGGGCTAGTCACACTTCTCTGAAGTGTCTCAGCCCCACTCACCTCACAGAGTGTTTGTTGTGGGGGAGGAAGGGAAAGGAGAATGTTAGCTGCTTTGAGACTCCTTAAAGGGAGTGAGTGAAAGGCGGGATATCAAATCCAAACTCTTCTTCTTCTTCTTCAATAAACAAAAAACAACAACCCCACCCCAGAATAAAACATATATCGATGTTCTACCTATCTTGGTAGGCTTGCCTAAATGAAACTGTTTTACCAGGCACTGACAAGAATACAGAGAAGGCCCCTGGCTGTCCCCTAGTTACTTTCAATTTATATGTACGCTTTTATACTAAAGGTAATCTCCAGGCACTTTCATACCAGTAATCCAACATTGCACCCTTTAATAAATCTTCCCAAAATCTAGTAATAGTTACAGTGGCAGACAATGGGCTCTCAAATTTCTGTGTCACCCCGTGCAATGCTAAAAATTGGCACACACAAACCCCACCTCTCATGCTCCCTTCTGCATAGTTGTTGTGGCACCCCTTGCGGTTACTCGCGCCCAGGGCAGCCAGACCGGTGTGGCTCCCCTAAAACTGGCTAGTTGCTTTGGCTGCAATTCTATTAGTCCCACTGGCTCTTGTGGGACTTACTCCCAAGTAAACACCATAGTATTGTGCTGCATGCACTTTCAAATCCTTTCCCTGGCAGCAGCAGTGCACAATACGGATTCTGAGCACAAACTTCCTTTTGTTTGCTGTCCCTCTTCAGTCCACGGACTCCATCCTCTCGCGGAAGAAAAGGGGGGACCCCGATCCAAGGAAAGATTCACCACCTGCTACAAGCCTCAAGAACTCAAGTGGGATTCGAAGTTACTTCTGCCAAAGGAGCCTTGGCCTACTAAACCTGTTTCCTTCACAGTTAGTACAACACCCCATAATTCCCTTCCCTTCTCCGCATCTTCTTCCACTGAGCTCATATTTGGAATAGAAATCTGTGGGTGTTCTGAATGGTGTTTTTTTAAAAAATTAAAATAAAATAAGGGCATTGCTTTGCTGGAGTACTTGGGAGTTTCTGCAAAGCTGATAGCTAGCCAAATTCTAACCTAAGGTGATATAATTAGAAGACAGGCTGTGGGTTGTTTTTTTAAATGTCTGTCTCATATACAGGTTCTCACAGGTGGAAGATATTTGTAGGCCTGCTGCTATTTATAGTTTTGTTTGAAAACTGTAACTGTTTCTCTTGCAAAATGCCATGAATGACAGTGTGTTGCTTCACGCCATCAGATATGGGGATACTTTGTAAAAAAATATATATTTTTTTAGAAAAAGCAAAAATTACACTGTAGAACCTTGGGTACATTGGCTACATTGCAGGCTGAAAGGAACAGATTCACCCAGTTTTCGAGGGATCAGAAGCGACTTGGGCTTTATGACAAATTATAGACTTTTCCGAATGAGGCATGAATGACTCTTGTGTTGTTTTAAACGGAAACAAGCCAGAGCCATTTCAGAATGTGGGAGGCGTAATTTTCCTGAGCTAGTCTTGGAGATTCAAATGCATGTTGGCAATTAGTGTAATAGCATGTGTAGAATCTTGCCTACTGTTTAATGTTGCTTGAGCTGCAAATGCTCTTAAATTATAAGCACTAATACATGTGGAAGAAAATTCCATTGTAACCAGTAAGGTTTTCGTCTGATCCCCTGCTATAGATACGCTATATTGGGGATAAGGAACCTTTGACCCTTCAGATGTTGTTATACTACAATTCCCATAATTCCTGAATTTGGCCATGTTGGCCAGGGCTGATGGAATCCAAAAACCTCTAGATGACCACAGGTTCCTCACTGATGCCCCATATGGAATGGGGCACCTCCCTGACATTGGGTGAGGATGCCCGTATGCACATGCAAAGTTTTGGATCGTAGCTATGAAGATATCAGTTAAGAATTTTTAGTCACTTTAGGGAATAACATACTAAGATTATGTTGTTTATGGTGAATGCTTGAATTTGTTCCTGCTTTGTTTAGATGCTACACAAAGTAGGTATAATCACAGATGCATGTATTCATGTGCCAGCATTTGCTGGGCAGCACAGAACCCAACTTTCTGATGCAGAACCTGGTTTAGCAACTTTTTAGAGCTACATAGAAAATAATGGGCAGATATTTTTCTTGCAAAGCAGGGCCAGCCCACCTATGAGGCAAGGGGAGGTGACTGCCTTGGGTGGCAGAATTCACAGGGGCAACAGATCTGGCCTCCAAGGCATGCATTGCCCACTGCGGTGCGCTCCTTGGAAGCTGGGTCTGCTGCCTCCTTGGTAGCACCCCCCATGCCAACTCTATAGTGGTCTCTTGGCTAATAGGATGTGCTGCTGGTCTCCTCCCTCCCCTAGGGAGGAAATAGCAAGGGCTGCCTTCTGGAGTCTCCTAGGCTCTGCACCTGCCTAGTGCAGGCGTAGGCAAACTCGGCCCTCCAGATGTTTTGGGACTACAGTTCCCATCATCCCTGACCACCGGTCCTGTTAGCTAGGGATCATGGGAGTTGTAGTCCCAAAACATCTGGAAGACTGAGTTTGCCTGCGCCTGGCCTAGTGTGATTCAGATTGGGCCCCTCCGACCCACCATGATTCACTGCTGGTTAGGTGCCCTGTACATTATCCTGTCCCTCCTGTAAGTTCAGATGTTTACTGCTGCCCCCAGCCTATGCTTTCTGTTATTTTATTTGTTCCTCTCTCTTTTTGTTCTTCTGTGTTCAGCTTGATTTTTTAAATTTAAAAAACACATGGCATTTGTAGGCATTGTGCGAAATCATATCGCAGTACAAATCTTGCCAGTCCTCTGTATGGATGATTGGATGAGGTGCTTCCTGTTGTTGTTGAAGGGACTTCAATCGCTTGAAACGAAGCACACATCATGGAGGCTTTCAGGAACTTCGGCTTTGCCAAGAAACTGCACTGCAGGAAAAATAGCGCCAAAACACAAACATTGCCACCACTGTTACATAAATGGATTGCTAACACCCCAGTATGAACCATGTCTGCTCTGATGTAAACCCTGTTGAATTCAGTGGGGCTTTTCCCCAGGCAAATGGAGGATGACAGGGATGGTGTAGAGCTAGTTTGCTCGCACCTACTCCCCCCAAACCCCTTGCATGTTCATGTCAGCCATGTACTGAATGCCTGAAGGAGCGTCTACACCCCCATCACTCAGCCCGGACACTGAGGTCCTCCTCTAAGGGTCTTCCCTCACTGCGAGAAGTGAAGTTACAGGGAACCAGGCAGAGGGTCTTCTCAGTAGTGGCGTCCTCCCTGTGAAACACCCTCCCCTCAGATGTCAAGGAGATAAAGAATTTAGCAACTTGTAGAAGACATCAGAAGGCAGCCCTGTATAGGGAGGTTTTTTAATGATTGATGTTTTTATTATGTTTTTAGATATGCTGCAAGCCACCCAGAGTGGCTGGGGAATCCCAGCAAGATGGGCAGGGTATAAATAATAAAACAACTGTTGTTGTTGTTGTTGTTGTTGTTGTTGTTGTTAGGCTGCTTATATCTGCTGAGGCCAGTGCTCCTCACAGGCAACCACAGATATGTGAGGAGACAGGCCTGCTGGGGAAAGTTTTTTGACAGGCTCTCATCATATTTGGCAACTGTGAAGCACTAGCATTAAAAACACTTGAAACAGGCTGAGTACACATCCTCACTAGTAAATGGGTGTCTGTATGATATTCAATTTGGATGGGTATTCAATTATTGCAGCTAAAGCCTTTTTTGCCAGTAAATGTTATGTATCTTCCCTTCAGGCTATGCTTATGTTATAAAGCCTAGCTGCAAAGCAAGGCCCTTTTGTTTTAAGATGTTTGATATCTGTGAATCCCCTTTTGGTTAAAACCATGCCCGTCAGTAGTTTTCTTATATTGTTTTAATGATTTTGTCTTCAGAGGCACAGAAGCCAACGAGCTGCACACAGTGCCTTTCTGGAACGTGTAGAAGAAACACTAAGCCAGCTGTGGTTGAAAGAGGTAAGTTGCCTTCAGGAAATCTAGCAACTCGGTTTTAAACCAGTTTATTCCCCTCTAAGGAACTCCTATGGTATAAAGTACAGAGAATATGTAGACAACTCCTAACAGTTCCATTCAACACACAGAGAGCCACAGGTTCCCCACATGAGGGGAGGAACTGAAGGAAAGTTGGATAGAAGTTGTTGTGGTGTCTAGTTGTCCTCAGGACTGTTGGGGAGGAAGGCTGGTAGACCAGCAGCAGGTAGAGTCAGAGCCAGTGACAGGCAGTGCCACCTCCTGATTGCTTCTAAGTAAGAAGACAGGCGGATGGGGGCTGACTGAGGACAGACTGACCCTAATGGACTCACCTAACTTGCCCAAATGGACCAGCCTCCACTGAGAAGAAGTGAGCAACGTGCTCCAGGAACACACTTGCAGCCTTCATAAAGGTGAAGGTAAAGGGACCCCTGACCATTAGGTCCAGTCGTGACCGACTCTGGGGTTGCGGCGCTCATCTCGCTTTACTGGCCGAGGGAGCCAGCGTACAGCTTCCGGGTCATGTGGCCAGCATGACTAAGCCACTTCTGGCGAACCAGAGCAGTGCACGGAAACGCCGTTTACCTTCCCACCGGAGTAGTACCTATTGATCTACTTGCACTTTGACATGCTTTCAAACTGCTAAGTTGGCAGAAGCAGGGAGCGAACAACGGGAGCTCACCCCATTGTGGGGATTCGAACCACTGACCTTCTGATCGGCAAGTCCTAGGCTCTGTGGTTTAACCCACAGCGCCACTCGCGTCCCCCTGCAGCCTTCATGGGTCACGTAAATAAGGACATATGGAGAGCCCTCTGCATCGTGCCAGAGGCCCATCTAGTCCATCTTCCTGTTCTCACAGTGGCCTTATAGGAATCTGGCAAGCCAGAACTGAGCACATGAGAACTTCCTCTTCCTGTGGTTTCCATTCAGAAGCATTACTGCCTCCAGCTGTGGAGGAAGAGGAACAAGCATTGCAGCTGGTTGGTAGCCATTTCCTCCATGAATGTGTCTGTTCCTCTTTTAAATCCTTCCAAGTTGGTGGCCACCACTGCCTCTTGTGGCAATGAGTTCCACAGCTGAACTGCGCTCTGTGTGAAGCAGTGTAGCCTTTTATATGTCCTCAATCTGCCCAAATGTTTGCTTCATCGAATGCCCGTGAGTTATAGCGTTGTGTGTGTGAGAGAGAACGAAATTAGGCAGGCTTTCTAGATATGGATGTTGACCTTTTGTGACATTTCCTCCCTGCTTTCCAGGCAGCCCAGAAGCAGGCCCAGGACAGAAGAAAAGCTGCATCTAGTCTGAGGCAGAAAACGCCAAGCACAGCTGTTTCCACTGAGAGCGATATTGAGATGCAGCAACAGGCCGGCAGGCAGCAGGAAAAAAGCCTGCAAAAAGGACGGCTCTCTCAGCCACCACCTATGGCAACACTGGGGTGGCAACTGTCAATGCATATAAAACCAGAACCTCTGGGCTTCTTGTTGCCAAGTGGCGTTGCCCAGAGTGTCGAGGAACTGAGGTGCAAATAATGAGGGGGAGACCACAGAACACTCTGCAAACACCTGGATTGTATTATGCTCATTGCTGCTATTCTAGTGCCAGTAGGGTTCTGTATTGCAGGAGGATAAATCTCATCCTCTCTTTAGCACAGTGAATGTAATAATTGTAAATAATAATAAGCAATCAAACATACATACAAGTGCAGCAAGGAATGGTTTTATCTATATAATACACTCCCACATCTAATGGCACTCAGGAGTGTTTTGCTAAAAATGATATACAGTGGTGCCCCGCAAGACGAATGCCTCGCAAGACGAAAAACTCGCTAGACGAAAGAGTTTTCCGTTTTTTGAGTCGTTCCGCAGAACAAATTTCCCTATGGGCTTGCTTCGCAAGACGAAATGTCTTGCGAGTTCTTGCGAGTTTGTTTCCTTTTTCTTAAAGCCGCTAAGCCGTTAATAGCCGCTAAGCCGCTAATAGCCGTGCTTCGCAAGACGAAAAAACCGCAAGATGAAGAGACTCGCGGAACAGATTAATTTCATCTTGTGAGGCACCACTGTACAGTGGTACCTCGGGTTACAGATGCTTCAGGTTACAGACTCCGCTAACCCAGAAATAGTGCCTCAGCTTAAGAATTTTGTTTCAGGATGAGAACAGAAATCACTTGGTGGTGGTGTGGTGGCAGTGGGAGGCCCTATTAGCTAAAGTGGTATCTCAGGTTAAGAATAGTTTCAGGTTAAGAACAGACTTCTGGAACGAATTAAGTTCTTAACCCGAGGTACCACTGTAATCAAAACCATCAATCCATATTCAAATAGGGGGAAATTAGCAAAAATATATATGTTAATACCGTGAGAATGAAGTAGAACTTCCTTCGGAGAAGACAAACGGGCCTGCTGCAGAATCTGCACCCTGATGGTGTAAAAGATCTGGGATAGCTCAGATTCCTGCATTGCAGGGGGTTAAGCTAGATGATCCTTGTGGTCCCTTCCAACTCTATGATTCTACGAAGCGTGTCTCACATGAGGTGCTTCACAACACCTGTACCAGTGTGGGGTAGAGAAACAGGCTTTGAGCACAGCAGAATGAGCAAACAAAAGCACACGGTATGTGAAATCAGAGGAACAGGCTAGAAACAGGTGAAAGTTGATGTACCCTCACGGAATAATTTCATACTGGCTTCTGATTGCAATGATAGTTAATGGCTTCTGGAGCAGAATGGGCATTCTTCATCCCAACCAGGCATGAATTTGTATAGCACATTCGGAGATTTGAACATGTCGTTTGATACAGCATATAAAGATGGGTTTGGATCAGATGGATTTGATATGCCCTACTTCATATGGGGGTTGGCAACCTTTTTCAGCGGGAGAGCTCTTCTTTACAGTCAACTTCTGAGAGTGGGCACATGCCCACACAGAAGGTGTGGCCAAAGCAAAAGTGGGTGTAGCTGAAGTGGGCGTGGCCACAGCTGTCACTCCAGCACACCACACAGAAATGCAGGCGCATATGCACTCAGCCCAGGCATGAGCACACACGCAGGTTTGTAAAAGAAGTTCATGTCACATAAAGGCAATAGGATGCATGCATCTAAAAACAAAGGGGAAATGATCCTGCCACAAATGAGTGTTATCTGCCCCATGCGTATGGAAGCACACTGTAGACACAGCATTTGCCAGGCCACTGAAAAAAATTCTCACAGCTCCATGAATGAGTATAAAGGTGGTTTCCCTGGAAAAGCACATCACGTGCGCCAAAAGCTCTCACCCAAACGAAAGGCTGTGTCAGCGGTTGTTGTTTGTCTCTAAGCTTCGAGTCCATTCAGTGCTTACTGCAGGGGAACAACAAAGATGTTCACAGTTTATGGTACCGGATTTACGTATAAGCTAAACAAGCTATAGCTTAGGGCCCCACTCTCTTGGGGGCCCAAAAAAAGTTTAAAGGGGGGAAAAACCCTGGATGCACATTTCCAAAATATAAGATAAAAAATAAATAAAATAAAACCTACCTACAGCAACAGTGTTTTGTGTTGTGTAGGCTCCTATGATGTAAATAATGGGCCCCGCCTGCTAGCCTGCTCCCTAAAATATCACTGATTTGCTCATTTCTATATATAGGGTGCCTACATTCTGCATGGACTGGTTGCATCAGTGACTACAGTATCATATGAGCACTGATCCAGAGCATATTTTCTACAGCGTTTATGTTTGCTTACATGTAAGATTGGCTTGTTAAGAAATTGAACTCCATCCTTCTCATATTCTTACAAGTCTGGCTGATGAAGAATTGATGAAGCATTGAACGAAACAGATTGGTTATCCAGAAACTCTGTTCTGGTGATATTTGGTGACAGATTATATATATATCAAAGTTTTGAATTATTCTACTGCAACTGGTGAAGAAGATTTCGAGACTTTGGTTGTAATTTCTGATCCTTTGTATTAGTCTATAATAATGTTTAGTGCCATTGCTATTGTTATATTGATCAGCTTGTCTATATATATATATATATATATATATATATATATATATATATATTTGGTCTATTTATTTATTTATTTTAAATGATATTTATTGAGAATTTTTTTTTTAAATTACACAAAAGAAAAAACAAGACACAAAAAAGAAAAAGAAAAAGTAAAACCATCATTCTCCAATTCTCCACTTTCAATACCTTCTTTCCTTGACCTCCTCCTCCTCCCTTTTCCTGTATCCTGATTTATAATAATCACAGCAAATCCTTTCCATAATTCATAGTATTCTGTCATCACATTACCTTAATCTATTTTCATCTTATCTTATATATATAAAAAAACAACCTTAAAGTTTAGAACTTAAATCTTAATTTTTACCAACTTCTCCTAACCATAACATTCTTACCTAATTCTTTAGACATTTTTATAAGAGCCAAATAATTTCATTTCAACATTTTCCTAACATTCATCAATTTTATAAAACAGTCCTAATGATAAAAATAGAAAAATAAGCAATCCAATCTTCATCCAGCGTCCCTTCCTCCTGGTCCCGGGTTTTGTCAGTCCTTTTTATCCTTTTAATCTAGCACATTAACCTGGCAATCTTATATCCGAGGCCCTCAAGTCTCTTCCATGTCCCTTCCGCAGCTCTTCTTCATATTTTCCTTTTATTCGTGGGAACTCCAGCTTGGTAATGTTTTTGACCCTTTTCAACAAAACAGTCCCTTTTCCATAGTCCAGACTAGACTCGATGTAGTATTTAAAAACATGTTCCAGATTCCCTTCAAAGTTGAGAGCCCCCACTGCTCCAGACATCTGACGGCCCCTTTCCAGACTCGAAAAGTCCAAATCTCCCTGTATAGGGGGGTCTATCCAACCCCCCATTTCCAAACCAAACCAGATTTTATCTTTCCAAGTCTGGTCTTTTCCAAGTTCATTTGTCAAATCCAAAAATTTATATTCCTGCTGGGCCGCAGCTCCTTCCGTCTCTGGTGCCCAAGATTCAGCAGAATCCTCTTCTCTCAGCTGTTCTGTCATGGCACGCTCCTGTTTTAGTTCCTGGGTGGGCTCCATATAGTTTCCCACTACCTGTTCAAAGGTTCTGGCTGCATTAGTCATCAAATCCGTCTTCTGGCTTAACTGATCCAATAGGGCATTTATTTTGCAGAAAGCACCCAACAGTGCTTCTACAGACATTATCCTGCAAGGTCACAAACCCTTTCCCACGGTTGTAATCAGTGACAGCTGCAAGCTCCCAGGGATTAGTTACAATTTCACAGTTTCCCTCTAGGGGGAAAAACTTCTGGTTGTTCTTTCTCTTAAAAACAATAGCAACAAAGTTTCTTTTTTAAGATATTTTGTCCATATTTGTTCTTTTAAAATGCGAAAGGAAGCAATGCAGTCACTATGTTTCTCTTCTTTTAACTATCTGTCAAAGACATTTGTTTCTGGTCAATGAGCTTCAAACGTCAATTCTGACACCCCGCACCAGGATCAGGACGGTGGAAAATTACTTTGCTTTAGATTCACTTCTGCAGGTTTAAACAGCTCAAAAAAGATCCCCCTTCTTCTCCTGCTACTGAAGGGGGGTTCAGCGATTTTAAATGATGAAAGTCAATCCTTTAAAAGTGATTTTTAAAGCTCTAGTTTGCGTTGTCTTTGCTTTGTTCTGGCTACAGGGAAACGGAAGGCTGACTTCCTGTTTAAACCTTCCCATTTCAGTACCAAATTAAGGTGAATTTTTAAGTCCAAATTCCTTTCTATTTCACCAGTTCTTATTTAAAGTCCAAATATTCAATGTTCCAGTACTCACGGTTGGTTATTTTAAATGCCAAATTGTCCCAGGAAAAAGGCAGCGCTCTCCGGCAACGGCTATGCGGCTTCGCTCCGCAGAAGAAGCGACTGACTCACAGCACCATGCCACTTCCCCCTCTTCGCTTCGGAGCCCGTTTGTGGGTTCCTTTGCGGGTTGGGGGGGCGCTAAGGGTGCCCGCCGAGTCCCACGGTCACAGGCTTCATCCGCCTGTGATTTCCAGAAGGGTCCCCGCTTCGCCGCAGCGGAAAAGACCCGTTTCATGCGGAGCTGGTCCCTCCAGTTCAGAGGGAGTCCGCCATTGCCGATGGCGCCACCCCGGAAGTCCGATCAGCTTGTCTATATTGCAACACAGGGGTCTGCTTACGGATGGACTGGTTGCATGGCAACATGTGCAAATGGCTTTATATACCTAATAGGTCCATAAATTACCATATAGCATATATTCAACACAAAAAACAGTGAGAATTTGTTGTTGTCAAAGGACAGCTGGACATATAAAGGGCCTCGCTACCTTCAGTAACTTAGGGCCTCATCAAACTTAAATCTGGCCCTGACTGTATAGATTTTCTTTATTGAACTATAAAGAGCATTCAAGGTTCACATGAACACATCACAAGTTGTCATGATCATCTTGTGCAATGGTCTTTGTGCCCCATTCAAAGTACTTTTTGTTGGCATTCATGACCACTGAGATGAGGCCTTAAATTCTTCCATGTATTTTTAACAGTACGAACGAGATTTTTTAAAGAAAAGTCAAATACATGTAGCTTTTTGGACCGATAATCCACATTTTTGACAGGGATCCTTGTTTGCTCTATTAGGCTTGTTACATAACTCTGAAAACGATGGCAGTTTTTTCTCTCTCTT